CACACCCACTATGTCATGCAAATCGTAATCAATCCCAAAGACAACAACACGTTTGCCAGCGCTTCGCTCGACCGGACGGTCAAAGTGTGGCAAATGGGCTCCAGTTCTCCCAATTTCACTCTCGAGGGACACGAAAAGGGTGTCAATTGTGTGGATTACTGTCACAGCGGAGACAAACCGTATCTGATATCTGGTGCGGACGACCGCTTAGTCAAGATCTGGGACTACCAGACGAAGACGTGTGTGCAGACACTCGACGGTCACGCGCAGAACGTGTCGGCGGTGTGCTATCACCCGGAACTGCCTATCATTATGACTGGTTCTGAAGACGGAACTATGAGGATATGGCACTTAAACACATACCGACTCGAAAGCACTCTGAACTACGGCTTGGAGAGGGTTTGGACCATAGCTTGCCTGAAGGGCTCCAATGGTGTGGCCATTGGTTACGACGAGGGGAGTATTATCATAAAGTTAGGCCGTGAAGAGCCCGCCATGTCTATGGACAGCAGTGGGAAAATAGTTTGGGCCAAACACTCGGAACTACAGCAGGCCAACATCAGAGCCCTCGCCGAGTCCGATGACCTCAAAGACGGCCACGTTTTGCCCCTCAATGTCAAAGATATGGGCAGTTGTGAGATATACCCTCAAACCATTTCCCACAACTCCAACGGACGCTTTGTTGTGGTTTGTGGTGACGGCGAGTATATTATATACACAGCCCTTACTCTCCGCAACAAAAGCTTTGGTTCCGCACAAGAGTTCGTTTGGGCGTTGGATTCGTCTGAATATGCCGTTCGAGAGAATGCCACAAATGTTAAGATATTCAAGAATTTCAAAGAAAAGCAATCCTTTAAACCCGAGTTCGGCGCCGAAGGCATATATGGCGGCCATATGTTAGGCGTGAAGTCAACGGCTGGCCTCGCCTTCTATGAGTGGGAATCTCTGGAACTGATTCGTCGCATCGAAATCGAGCCGAAGAACGTGTTTTGGTCCGAAAACGGAGACTTAGTTTGTATCGCAACCGAAGAGTCGTTTTATATATTGAAATACAGTTCGGAAAATGTGTCCAAAGCTAAGGATAACAAGAGTGATGCCATTACTGAAGATGGCATTGAAGACGCTTTTGATGTGATCGCAGAGCTCCAGGAGTCAGTTCGCACCGGTCTATGGATTGGCGACTGTTTTATATACACGAATGGCGTGAATCGACTCAATTATTTTGTCGGTGGAGAGATCGTTACGATCGCACACTTAGACCGGTATGTCCTCTACGGCTATGAATTTGTTGTCATTTATGAATTGCTGTATGTTTTGCAGAACAATGTATTTATTGGGTTATATTCCCCGTGAAAACCGTCTCTATTTGGGTGATAAAGAGCTGAATATCGTATCGTATTCTCTGTTGTTGTCTGTATTGGAATACCAAACGGCAGTCATGAGGACTGACTTCGAGGCCGCCGATCAAATCCTGCCCTCAATTCCTAAGGAGCAGAGGACACGAGTGGCGCACTTCCTCGAGAAACAGGGCTTCAAAGCGCAGGCATTGGCTGTATCTACAGATCCGGAGCATAGATTTGATTTAGCGGTTCAATTGAGTGACACAAAGATTGCATTCCAGTTGGCATTAGAGGCACAAAATGAGCACAAATGGAAACAATTGGCAGAACTGGCCATCTCTTTGGCTCAGTTTGATTTGGCCCAACAGTGTCTCCATAACGCCCAAGACTTCGNAGTGACACAAAGATTGCATTCCAGTTGGCATTAGAGGCACAAAATGAGCACAAATGGAAACAATTGGCAGAACTGGCCATCTCTTTGGCTCAGTTTGATTTGGCCCAACAGTGTCTCCATAACGCCCAAGACTTCGCCGGTTTGCTTCTGTTGGCCACGTCTTCGGGCAACTCAGCAATGGTTGAAAGACTGGCCGATTCGGCACAAGAGAAGGCCATCAATAATGTGTCGTTTTTATCGCATTTCATATTAGGAAACACTGAGAAAGCGTTGAATGTGTTGATTGAGACCAACCGTTTGCCTGAAGCGGCTTTCTTTGCGCGAACATACTTTCCCTCTCAGGTCTCACGAGTGCTCCAACTCTGGAAAGAGAGCGTCACCTCTAAGACCAAGAGCGAGAAGTCTGCCCAAGCGTTGGCCGACCCAACAGAATATGAAAACCTTTTCCCTAATTTCGATGATTCACTCAAAGCTCAGACCTTTTTAGATAAAAAGAACGAAATAAAAGGTTTGGAAAAAGCCGTCAATTATCCGAACGTTCCCTTCAATAACGACAGGAATCCTATCGAAGAAATGAAAGCCGAGTTGAGTGGTGTTGAGTACAACCCACAGCCCAATGCCTCCAAAAACTCTTTGACTGAAAGCAAAGAGAGTGTCGACTTCGAGGAAGCGCTCTCTTCACTCCCCAAAGAAAAAGAAACTAAAACTGAAGCTAAAGATAATTCTTTGGAAGATTTAGACGAAGACTTAGACAACTTAGACATTGAAGACGATGATAACATCGACGTCTCTGTGAGTGCTATTAAATTATGAAATAATATTTTGTAGAAATTAATTAAATTGTTGTTTTCATTGACAGGACGTCAATCTCGATGAAGATCTCATAAGCGATGACTAAACCAATCGTTTGTTGATTTTTATTTTACAAAAAATATTTTCTTTAACTTCACTGCAATCGAGTAAACGATTTTTCAGATTATAATTTATATTATTGGAAATACATTTTTAATTTATGTAATGATAAATTATTATTTAATTAATTGCATTAAAATTTTTAAAATACGTGTTTTGAATTGTTTTATATACGGTACAGTATTTGAACGTTTGTCCAAATAAAGATTTTTTAGACAATATAAAGATATGAAATCATATATCTAACAGCTTACCGGTTAGAGACCAGGGTTATTTTCATGCAAGTCACTTGAAAATAATTACCATGAGCATTTCAAAGTTTATTATAAGATTATTAAGCAATTCTGGTAATGCATAAAATGATGAAATTCTCAAATAACAACTGTATTACTAATATTAAGCGATAAAGTGATGCCTACATTCATTAAACGTGTTGGATATGCATATTTATGAATTATCCGTATCAGACAGTAATATGAGATTTTGATTCAAATGAACTATAATATTGAATCTTAAATTAGCTTAAACTTTAATTTTTAATTATTTTTATAATAAATACTGTAACTCAACCTGTAAAATAAATTAAGATAAATCACTAAATTTAAGTAAGACTCCAAAATTTGGAGTTCAAATACAGTAGTATGAAAAAACTTCCTAAATCATGAAATATTATATATTAAACAATCCGTAAAATTAACAGAATACTTGTTGATAACAAGTTACATTCACATTAATTTAGTTGTTTACTCTAATACTGAGTACAGAGTAATATTATAACAATAAATTACCCTATATAATT